TTAGAAATGATGCATCTCCAGTAAAACATTATTTATTAGGTAGTTTGCTTTTTCACAACAGAACCTGGAGTTTACTTTCTAGCAGCAAAAGGATAATTTTTCACCAATAAAACTGTATCTTCACTCTATAAGGTGTTAAGCTGAGAAGTTTTGAAGATATAAGAAGGAGATATGCATATAATCCAATGCATGCATATCTACACATGATATGTAAAAGAATAATGGGGAAAAACATCATAAATGCATGTTGTTTTGTAATAGCAAAGTTTGGGTATGAAAATTCAATTGCGTACTGTGTATGAACACATTGCATTATTTAATACAACTCCTCCTTCTTTCTGGATCTATTATGATTTGGTTTCAAAGCAGACTCATTTTACATATGCCTACTGAGTTAGTAGTTTCAATAGCAAGAAAGGCCTTTTCTGACTTATCAACTAACGGTGTTTCCAAATTCGTATATCATAATGTATTACACAATGAATAAGAAACTCACCCAGACTAACTTTTCCAATATGCATCAACCCAAAGATGTAACCTAGGATAAGCATGTGTGATTTCAGTCAATATCTCTGTTGACTTTGCCCTGAAGCAGATAATTAATCTTTCCCACAGAAAGCTAGTGTGGGCAAATCAGTGGGACAAAACATCAAACTACCACAGAAAAATGTTTAAAGACTATTTAAGATATTTTCTGAACAAATGGTGCTCAGATCCTCTCTACAGTTGGCCCAAGCCTACACGCCTTACTCACACACATAGATCCACCAATGCCAGTGGAACTACTCACATGAGTAAGGCAAGTAGGATTTGATCCCATCTTGTTAAGTTTGCTGCTATACGCTGCAGAACGAGCTTCCTGCTTTTGGCTTGTAACTTATGCACAAGTTTACCACTGTGGGTCTGATACTGAGAGGTGCTGAACATCTGTATAAATTTGTCCATACATGTCTGTAATATCTGCATAAATAAAGTGAAATGGGAGGAGTTGGGGGACCCAGTGAACATGAGGCACTGGGACCCCAAATTTCTCTCAAGAGGCTTGCTTGTGGGTGCTTAACACCTCTAAGGATCGGGCCCTTTGATTTAAAAAACTAAAAATCCTGGTGTCATAAAATATGAAACTAACACTATTCTCCAGTGATTTCCTGTAGACCACATATTCTTAAATCTTAAAAAGATTGATTTCCTGCTTTTCATGCATAATCTGCCATATTCATTATTTGAAATATCCCATAAAGAGATTAAATAAGAATTAAAGTCTGTGGGTGACATATCCATCACCATGGAATAAACCAATACAGAATACTAGAAGTTGCTATAATAATTTGGACATTACATATGCAAAGGCACATTTTACTTTATTTTGTAAAGAATAAGGAAAATGTAGCACCCCAAAAGACTTACAGATTTCCCCCCCAACAAAAAGCTTCACACACCTTTTAATGTGCTGCTTAGGGTTTTACAGATATATTCCCTGCCAAAAACCCTAGGGTCTTCTATCTCTCCTCCCCTTCTCTCAGCCCCTTTCCTGCTGTCTCCCTTGCCATAACTCAACTAACCCAACAGAACCAGTCAGTTTTAAATTTCAGTTGGGACCCCAGTGACCTGTTAATGAATCTACAGAGAGGAGAAAAACTCACAGTGTTGAGTTATGCCTGGTGTTGCTAGCTGACTTGGAGTCAGAAATGCTTGAAGCGTTAACGTAATTGCAAGAATGTGAAAAATGAAGCGTTGGGCTCCTGAGCAAAGCGAAAGGTCAAAGCAAGCCTTACACAAAACAAGTCTCTGGAAGATGGCCTCATTAGACCATTAAATCAGCTTCTCCTTTCCCCCCCTCCTTTGTAAAATGTTTTGAATGTTTTATTTTTATTATTAGATGTATTTAACCCTTTCTCCCTTTCACTGGAGAAAAAAAAGCTGATTATATTTACTACATTATTTACTATTCACTACAATAGTATTTTGTGACATTGGCCTGGGTCTGTGAATCTGAACCAGGCTAAAGTCAATAAATGCTTGGTAGATTACAGGTCACCAGTAGTTATGTTTGTTAGATGATCGATACAGCGTATAGTGTAGTTTCCCCTTGTACAGCCGAGGTGACATGCTAAAAACAACACAGACACTCACCACTAATAAAATTAGGATAATATTTCATCATTCACTGCCTGAAGGCCCTTTTTGTAACTCTTTCAGTGCCAAAATATTTTAACTAATTTCAAACTTCCCCTACATTACCCCTTTTGATGCTGAATGGGCAGCCGCTGTGCTGTGGCATTCTGGGTCAGATACTGCACTCCTTAAACAGGCAAAACTCCCATATGGCTTAATGCTTTCTAGTCACAACATCATGGGAGGAGCCCTTTGTGTGGATCTATCTTATCCTGCACAGAGGGTCAACAACATCGATGGCAGCATCCACCCATCACCAGATCCCACTGACCTTCCCTTAAGGGAGAGAGCTGGATCTGAGAACGGGTGGGTCAGGGGAATGAGTAGGAGGATCAGGAAAGGAAGGGCCAGGAGGTCCAGGAAAGAGTGGAAGGTCAAGAGGCAGGACTGAGGAGGAGCAATGTGGATCACTTACCTCTGCCACCCCACCTGACACTGGTGGAAAAGCCATTGGGATATTAATGCAATCTGAGGCTGCATTAACTCTTTCATGAACTCTTCCATCCCAGAGAAACCCCATTGGAGGAGCAGTGCCCCAGAGGCAGCAGCAAAGGAGAGCCTTGGCAATGCAGTTTCAGTGGAGCCAGATGATCAGAGAGCCAGCAAGGGTCAGTGGATCCCAGACCTGGAGGAGAGGCACAGATTCTCCTCACAGATGGCTGCGCCTCTTTCAGATTCTGGGGATCCATGTGGCTTGGGGATAGAACCACTGCCTGTTCAGTAGTTATGAGGCCAATCCTGCCCCTCTAATGGAACAATCCAAGGAAAATTCAACAAGGGGATTCTTGCAGAATTTTCTTCCAATAGGTACCCTCTTGTAATTTCCCTGGGAGGATGCGGGAGGGGAGGCATCTAGGCCATAGTCTTCAATGGGAGTTTTACCTAAACATCACAGGAGTGTACATCTTTCAAGTGCTAGCAGCTGACTGGACTCCTGACATTCAATTTGTAGATTGGCACTTCAAAAGGAAACATACCAGGTAGATGTGGAAGCACTTTAGGTATATATTTTTCCTAGCACACCAGGCAACACTCAAGTGATTAAATTGGTTCCTACACAGGAGCCCACTGGATGCCTAAATAAGTATAGTATATTTGTGAGCATACAATACCACAGACCATAACTTAGAATGATAGATCTTACATCTGGCTACCTTAGGGTTGACCTCTGCCTATGCTTCATACCAAATAATGAGGTCAGCCTAGGAGTATTTGCTGACAGCCCCTAGATTTACATGCCTGGAGATTAGAAGTTGGGTATTCAGGTGCAGGATCCCAGAACCACGGAACTCACTCCTGCTGGCTATCAACCAGAGCTCAAATTTTCTGTCCTCCAAGCTGCAGTACAAGACATGGCTTTGTGGTCAAGCATTGTTGGATGCTGGATCATTGCTGAATTATTTATGGTTGTTGGGAGTAGGGCGTGGATACAGGTATGAGGCCTATGTGTCCTGCTTGGGATGGACAGTTTAGAATAATGCATTGATGTATTTAAGTTATGTCATACTCCCAAATGCCACAGGGATGGGCACTTTAAAAAAATAAATAAATATTCCACTAAATCATCATCATTTTAGTGACAAGAAATCCATATTGATTATATCTATATCTATAAACCATAAAGTTTGCTAGTTAATTACTAGAGGTTTCACTGACCTGGTGCTTTATAACTAAAGCCTTCTTTGTCATTAGTTACTGTGGCTGTTATAGTTCATTACAGGCCTTGTCCAAATCTAGTTAAAGTCAATGGAATGACTCCCATTGACTTAAGGCCCGATCCAACTCCCACTGAAGTTAATGAAAAGATCCTGAATGATTCAAATGGGAGTAAGATCAAACCCTTTATCATAACCTCTTCCACTTTCTAGCAGCAACAATCTAAATGCACCCTGTACAAATAATCTATAACAACAGGAGAGGGCCCCAGTTCAATATACCAAAGAGAAACTGCAACTACCACACTGAACCTCGGGAATGTTTAAAATGTGAACCCAAATCAAAATCCAAAAATTACAGTGAGCCTCATCTATATAAGATATTCCACCAAAACTCAATTTCTGAACACCTGGAGCCTGACTCTCCACTGCCTTGCAGCTTGCACAGTCATTTACACCTGTGCCAAGTGAGTGCAAAGCAGGTGTAACATGCTACCCAGTCCTATTGGCAGTGTTTGACACCCACTTGGCACAGGCAGAAATGGCTGAACAAGGTACAAAGCTGTGGCCTTCCTGAACTTTGGAGAGTCAGGGGTTTTCAAAATCTAGTTCTGGACTTGAATTTTGCAGCCTGAGTCTCTCTCTATCAAGCATTCAAAATTCATGTTTTCAGAAAACATATTATACAGGCAACCACTGCACAAGATTTTTTTCAGTCAGTCAGAGTTGACTTCTGCATCTTCCTTATATGCTGTAACAGATTTACGGCTTGCTATAGGAGTCCTTTTATAGCTAATAATTCAAGTTAAATTCTCTGTTTACAGTCCAGTACAAACTACTGCATCACAGCCGGAGAGTATGCCTGTCATTATATTTACTTACACCACTCAAAAATAAACTGCAGATAACCAAATTTGTAAAGGAATTGGCAGAACTAATCAATTGTTATTACAAAGCTTGTTTGAAGATTAGATATTTCGCTTTGAAATAATAATAAAATGCAGCTAAGTAGGTTAAGAAAAGGAAATAGTGTCTCCCTAAGTTACAGCTGATTACACTGCAAGCCTGCCACTCCATGTTTACACTAAGGCAGATGTACTGATATCATAAAAAAGCCAAAGTTATTTTAGTCATGCCTACTTTGCTCAGGGAAAAAGTTTGACCTTTTACCTTGCTCACTGCTGTTGTCTCCACTCTGGGAAGCATGGCCCCCACTGGAGGGCCCCGGTGTGCCTGCTGAATGCGTTGAGGTTGCATCATCGTGGTCTCTCCAAGATGAAGGGTTCTGGTGTCAGAATGCCAAGGAATTTTTTCCACAGTTCCCATTCCAATAGCAAATGAGGAACAGAAAGAAAACAGAGGGGGAAGGAGGAAAAGTATACACATTAGCATTTGTGAAACGTGCCAAATACTGATACTGTTTGTACAATGTAATATGTCTTCAGTAGTTAGAAGTGGAGGACATACAAAGATTTATTTGGTAAAATAAAGGACCGATTTTTACTCTTCCAACAGCTATCTGGGATTAATTGTTTTAATAGTAGAGCAGTAAAACACTTCTGCCAAAAGCTTTAGTATTTCCTGATGAACTATTTGCACATGAGTTGACATGTTTTTTTCTCTAATACTTGAAGCTCAAACTGGAGTGGGTGTAGTGCCACATTTTCTCCCCCATTTTTGCCACATCTGGTTAGGTGAGAGGGAATTTCTTTTTTAAAGTATTTTAAAAAGTAAAGGAAAAAGTGGATGGGAGGGGAGCATACCCTCACACCCCTCTCTCCGCCACCAGTTTGAATATTGGAAATATTTCAAGCAAACGCAGAGCTGTGGGAAAAATAAGCTCTCTATGAAACACATTATATATACTAGTAAAGAATTTTTTTCTTCGATATGACACATTTTTAAAGACTTTCTAGATGTATCGCTCTTTAACAGTTCACTTACAAGAACTGTCAAGCATAATCACCAGGTGATTATATAAAATAATATATATGGTGATTTTTATGTAATTCTTTCTACATTAATACACATAAAATACAATAAAAAGAATGTAAAAGACAGACATATGAAGTTTGACAATACTTGGCTAAGTAAGACTTCTAGTACTTTACTTCACTCACATAACTCATTATAGCTTTTAATTTATTGAGTATTGGTTTTTCTAGAGTGAAGAACTCCTATTTAAAAGGATAAGTGAGGAAAACTGAAAGTTACAGTTCAGTGCTACTTTGTTGAGTGTAGTCTCCTCCTGGTCCTCCTCCCCTTTCCTGATCATTCCCAATACCCTGCTGTTGCTTAAAGGAAAACAGGAATTCTACTGTACAGGAAGAGCTTTATCAGCACCACATGAAGGCAGGCAAGAGATGGAATTTCCTCTGGCAAAAAAGGAGAGCAAGAACACATGAAACAGATCAGACTTGGGGCTGGACCTGCATTACTTGTCACCTGTATGTGACAACTTAGATTAAGCACATTGTAACACTTTCAGACAAGAAAAGTTTTGAAAAATAAAAAATCTTGGTTGAGAAAATAATGCACACCCTAAACTGCTACAACATCAGCAAATACCATGAACTGTGAATGATGTATGCTGATGCATATACAGCCTGATTCTGACCTCACTGACACCACTGTAAATCAGAAGTAAATCAAATAAAATCAGTGGAGTTACCCTGAGTAAAACCAGTGTACGTGTGATCAGAATCAAGCCTTGTATATACAATGAACCCTGTCTAGGTAATTTCCCAAAACTGATTGATACCACATGCATTACAGCAATATATAGTGGAGCAGCCAGATAATATTTTTATCCAAACCCAACCAAACTTTACGGGCCTGATTCAAAGCCCACTGTTGTCGATTAAATGACTTCCATTGACTTCAACAGGCTTTGGATCAGACCCTAAGTAACCAAAAACTAATAGGGAGCCAAATCCTGCTTGCCTTATGTACACAAACAGTCCCACTTAAATCAATTGGACTACACGAATGAGTAAATCAGGCAGGATTTGTCCCAGAATCCACAACAGCCATAACCCGTCAGCACGGCTGACAGGATTTAGGATACAAACTCTATTGAACTAACTCACATACTTTCTCTAATATAGAACTGCAACAAAGACTATCAAAAATTACTGATTACACACTAGTATTATATGTTTGTTGAGACTGTTGTACCAACTAAATCCACCAAAAGTTAATTATCGCCATCCCCAAAACCATAATAAAAAGTATGTTACCATCATGTCGCAAAGTCAGGTGAAAATAAAAATAAAAAGAAAGATGAAAAGTCTAAAGAGTCAAAGCAGCTCAGATGTTATTAAAAATAGACTATGAATGAAAATAAAGTGGGGGGAGAAAGTTCAGACAGAAATAAAATGCAAAGATTGAGCAAGTTTCTTTGCAGCCTGGATTAAAATAAGAGTTCTGCCTATGAGCTCCTCTTTTTATCTCTGAGTTAGGAAACCACTCAAATAGCTTCAAGCTGAAGGCAAACAGCAGACAGGAGCTCTTCAGCCCTCTGCAGCCTCTTAGCGTCAGCTGTTTGCCGGATGGTAATCAGATAAAGAGCTAGAAGAAATACATGAAAAAGGAAAGAAACAATAGCATGGCATGAGTTTAGCCCTCCAACAACATCAGGCTGGAACCTTCTTTTAGAATATAATAATTGCAACATGTTCACCTAGGCTAAACTTTTCAGAGAACACAGCGAGTTATGTTAATTTTATACACTGCAGGCTCTCTTAATCTGGTTGCTGTTAAAGCTCCTTACCATACATATGAAAATTACAATAATTAACCAGTAACACCTCAGCTATGTTTTAAGGCAAATGTCATCCAAAACCTATCATACAGTATTTCAAAAGCTGGACCAGTCTTCTGTTCCGAAAATGTAATGATTTGGAAAGCATCACCGAATCAGACTTCCCGCAGCTGAAAACCCTAGCTGTCTATACCAGTCCAAGCTGTGCTTGACCTCAGTTTGTAGACTGAGTTTTAGAAAGACAGACTGTATTGATTTGGAACTCAGTGTATTTCTTATGACACGGGTTTCTTGAGGAAAAGAATTTGGCAGCATTTTGTGGAGAGATAAAAATAATAAAGTGGTTATTTACAAGTTGCATCATAGAATACTAAGAATATGTTAAGCACAGGGAAATTAACTACTCTTTTGTATTATAAAAACTGTGATCAGAAACCATAAGGGTGGATCATGAGGCACCACTATTTTTCTTTGGATTAAGGTATGTGTGAGTGTGTGTATGTGTAATCCAACTTCTTACTTTTTTTTCCTAGACAGGTTCCAACTTTGCATCCCTCAAGAAAATCTTCCTGGACACATTCCCAGTCATTTGCAGTAATTTTATGAATACTGAAGCAAAACTGGTACCCAAATATACATTTTAAGAGAATTACTCTGATGGAACTAATCAATACAATCTATTATGCATATAGAGAGCCTCCCCCAAAAGCCCACTAAAGTTAATGGCAGTTTTTCCATTGACTTCATTGGGCTTTGGATCAGGCCCACAGTATTGCTCTAAAAAGAGTTATAGATAGATAGAATTGCTATATAAACTGTTAACGTAGCTTCTTATCAATTTGTGAATAATATTGTTAGCTTTAAAAATGTGCTTTGCAGAGAAAGATCAAAGAGTGGTGTGATTAAAATGCATATGCTGATTTTATATATATGTATATACACATACACATACATACACTATAACATAAATGCACATGTATTTAACCATGAACTAAACTACAGCAGTGTACCATAGAAGGCAGACAGTGCACATGTATCTATTCCCAGTAGTTTTAATAATTGGGAGTCAAATATGGTGCTCTTCTTGCTCTTACCTAATTGTGTTAAAGAGCAGTGTTACCAGGAGAAAAGCAGTGAATACTGAGTGGAGCACAATAGAAGGAGATGGAAAATAGATACAAGAAGCTAGGTCTCCAGGGGCAGTATTTTCTATTTGCCGGGCTACAGACTCGCAGCTGATAATGCAAGTTGTAATTAATATAAAAGCAGGAGACAATATGGGGAAAGCTTGTACTAGCAGGGCCACAGGAGATCACTCTGCTGCTATCCACTGTTTCTCATTTACACACACGGCCTTCCCTAGAAAACACAATTTTGCCAGTGTTTTCTCCCTTGAAAGTTAAAAAAAAATTGATTTAGCACCATCATTGAATTTTGCTAAATCTAGAAAAGAGCATGGAAAGGACAAGAGTCTCTGGGTATATGAAGCAAATCTGATGTGTTACTCTTTTGTCGATGCTGCAAATCTGGTGGAAACTGTACACATTTTTAACAAGTACAGTATTGCTTAAGAAGAGATGTTCCAAAGCACATTTGCCACAGAACAATAATTTATTAAATCAGGATTGCATGCAGGCATCTGTTTGTTAATATGATGCAGTGCTGGTCACTTTTCTTGTTCTGGTGCAAAGGTTGGTAGGTTAACTCTTGCAAGACGGCTATGTAAATGTAAATGTAGCGCCAGATGCTTGTGCATTCCTTGTGCACCCAAAACTTCCACTGAACAAAGTCTGACAAGCAGTCCCACTAGAGATGATTGTGATCTCACACTGGTTTTATGGTGGTATAACTCAATTAACCACAGTGAAGTTACTCCTGATTTATGATGGTGTAAGTAAAATCAAAATCAGGCCAATTGAATTCAAATGATGCTCTTCTGAGTACAGTCAGCAGGAGTCCACCCACAGAGTTTAATTGAAGTTTTAGACGGACAATAAATGTAGGATTGGGCCCAGGTATTTTGCTTATCAAATAAAAAAGTGGAAACTACACAACCATGGTGTGTAAATAAAACAGCTACACATCTGATTCCCAATTAAGATAACTTAAAATTAATTTCACTCAACATCTTGTAAATCAACTTTGCAACTGATCTTAACAAGTGTCACGATGGCACTGTTTTCCCAGAGACTATGAGTCAAGTTCTGCTCACCGTACTCACACAAGCAGCACCTTTGAGATCAGTGACTACTAATGTGATTAAGACAACAAGAATTTGGCCCTGCATGCCCTGATATATTAAAACACAATATACTGAGCCAGACAAAAACCTCATATACACCCATATAAGATATAATAATGTAATTCAGGATATGAGGTCTTAGAGACTGCTGTAGTGAATGGCAATAATAAACATATATAAAGAAACTGTCAATAAATAAACGGAACATGAAAAACTCTAATTTGGCTTGATATATATATTTACAGTGAAGTCAAAGCTCTGTATCACTGAGGCTTACTTT